GAAAGAAAGATCAGCCAAAGCACAAATGAGTTAAGATGATAAAATGAAATAAGCAACTCATGGGCAGATAAGATGAGTAATCAATAAATAAGCACCATGGACAAAAAATGTAGCGGACAGCTAAAGGTGAAAGTTACATTTTCTCTCGCTTCCTGGTAAAGCGCACGGACACGAGAAGCACCGACACCAACATATATTTCCACAAATTGAGAAGCGGAAATGGAGAAGAAGTTTACGCCAGCCTCACCAGCCACAGCTTTGGCTAGCAAAGTCTTACCAACACCAGGGGGACCACAAAGAAGTATACCACCTGGTTATTAAAAGAAGACGATGATTGAGAAGAATATATTAACTGAGAGGAAAAAAAGGAAAAAGTTATGAGAGACAAACCGGGAGAATGAAAGGGTCGAAATGATAATGCCATTAGTAAGCCAACACAACCGATGTAGCAACATTTTTTATAGGATGTATATCACATTAACATGACTAGAGCAAAAAGTTTGCATGTGGTAAGATATTGATACACCTGCCCTTTTACTAGTTACCAATACTACTGCGTCATTGGAGATCTTTGAGAAACTAACCTGGTATTTTCACTCCTCTTCTCCGATACATCTCACCATGCGTGAAAAACTTAACAATCTCCTCAAGCTCAAGCCTTATCTTCCCAAGACCTGCAACATCAGAAAACTTCACATCCACGCCTCTCTCGAGATACTGGGGGAGCCTTTTATTACGTGCCCTCCTAACTCTAGCACCTGACTTCATGAACTGCATTGCCATCTTCATATACGGATTCTGTTCTCCTCCTGCTCCTCCCTCGATCTCCTCATCACCATCCTCTATTCCTTCCAATTCTCTCTCCAACTCCCTCATTTTCTTCCTCTCCTCTGCCTCCGCCTTGTCAATCTTCAATCTGTCCTCGTAATCCTTCTTCTGCCTCCTATAGCTAAACACCACGGTTCGATAGAAGATCACAAAAAACACCAAGCCGAGTGCGGTTGCTACATTTGAGTCCCGCGCCAAATTCGCCCACACGATTGCCATGTGCTGATAATTCTTCCTCGCTTCGCGCAAAGACTCCTCATACTTCCTCTTCTTAATCTCCCTCTTCTTTCGCCTCTCCTCCTCTTTCTTCTGCATTCTCATCGCCTTCTCAATCATCTCTCTCTCCTCCCTCATTCGAGCCAACTCCTCCTTCTTCTGCCTCTTGAATTCCTCCCTCACCCGTCTCAACTCCATTGCCCGCTTCGACTCCTTCTTGGGCTTCATCAGCTTCAACATAAATCCCGGCACACTCCACAAGAACCCCAAATATGGCGCGGGCACATCTGGCTTCTTGACCGGAGGCGTGTACGCATTAACACATGCAGAATCAATACTCAACTGATCCCACGTATCCCAAAATTTCCTATTCCCATCTACAGAAGGCAGCACAGTCCTCAACACTCTAGAATCCTCCAGAACTACCAGAACAGGCTCTACCCTTTGCCTTAAACTAACCCCAGGTGGCTTTATCACATGCTTAAGCTTGCCCTGTTTCTTTAGTTCTACAATGTCAGTATAAGGAATTCTATCAGTAACTAAAGGAAGCCCTTTGGACCAAGATTTCAGCTGCTCCGGGGTCAATGCTTCGCGGGCTTTCTTGGCCGGCCTCTTCTTCTCCGAAACCTTGGTAGCCGCCACCGCCGCCACGGGCTGAGGGAGGGAGGCGTAGATGATGGTCAGGGTCGCAGGGATTGAGAGGAAATGGAATTGGGGTCTCTTCGTTTCGTCCTCAGGATTGTGCCCCTCATCCCCATTTTCAGGGGCGCGAATCCGGCATGAAGTTGGAGGGCGAGCGGGGACTAAAGATGGGGTTTTGGGTTTATTCAAATTGGACTTGCGAAATGCGCTAAAGGGGAGGGTTGGAGAACCAAGATCGCAATGGAAGGCCATGAATTGATAGCTTTTTATGCGAAGCGTGTAAGTGCTAGCTACATCGTCAGGAAGAGTGCGTCGACGTATAGATTCTTGAGTTCAAGAACGTGTATTGGACAACCTGCGCGAAGCGAAACAAGAACTGCTTCCTTCAAACCTTCAGGGGCGATGTCGCTCTGCACGGGCCGAGCAGCAGAGCAGCTTGCGCGCTTGTTGTGACTTGTGGGCACACTCGCCCGGTAGAATAAAGATGAACAGACGCTGGAGTTCCTGGAGATAGGGAAGAGAGAAGCGGGGCAAGAAGAAGTTTTCCTGAGCACTTTGTTCAGCCCGAATAAACATGTTTTCGATGTTCTTTTTATATTGAACGATAAGAACAAGAATCGCGCACTTGTTAAGGATCCTTAACTAGGAATATTTCCATTGTCCAAATAGTAGTTAGTAATTAAGGCATCAAAAAACTGTAAATTTTTCTTAAGTACTTAATTAGCGATGCCCCCAAAACAATCGTTAATTAAATCCCAGGAAGAATGTCCGTTCAACATCATTTTGACTAGAATAAATCCACATAACTTATGGCAATGCATATTTCTTCGTTTCATTTTTTGCAAATTTAGCGTGGGAAGATATATCAAGTAACTATGTGTCAGTAATTAACATTAGCATTGATCAAACTGTGTCCTGTCCAACCAAAAAAAATTGTGTTTTGAATATTATCTAGTCGTTTGGAGTTTGACAAATAACCAAATGTGCTGCTTTATTTTATAACTATTTTGCATGAGAAATTTGCGAGAAACCTATTTGTTTTGGTCGATCAAAAAATTTGGGTGAGAAATTTGTAAGAACCGACCGTATTTAGGGCCATTTATAACTCCTCTTTCGTTAAACCAAATAAACACATTATCAAAGAAAAGCAAGGTACAATGTCTTAGGTTACGTTTCCAACTGAAAAGGAGGAGTTTATCAGCCATATTTATAAAGACAAGATGTCTAATACCATCAGGTACAATATGTATTAATCGAGATGCATTTATTTTGCAGAAGACAAATCTTAAAATAATAATTTATGTCGTTTGCAAAAATTAATAGACAAAATATATTTCCATCGCTTATGAAAATATTTGAACTAAATTGTTGTGGACAATGATAATATTTTTAGGAAAATTTCAATTAAGGACCCCAAGCTGGGTCAAATTCTCAAATAAGGACCCAAAGTCGAATATTGTGTCAAACGACTAAGGCACAATCGGCCTCAAATAAGGCCGAGTGCCCAAAAGTCTCAAATAAGGACTGGGTCCCTGGCCATAAAATACGCCGTACGGCTGAGAAATCGTTCAGCATCGCAATGCACCTTTTTCATTTTTTTATTACTTTTTTCTGTTTTTTTCTTTTCCTTTCCTTTTTTCCTTTCTTTTTTTTTCTTCTTCTTCCTCCGCCGCCATAATGGGCCGGCGGAGGTCGCCGCCTCGAGGCGAGGCCGCTCGCCTCGTGGGCCGGGCGAGGCCGGCCTCCCACGCCGGCGAGGGCGACTCGCCCGGCACGCCGGCGGGCCGAGCCTCTCGCTGCATCACGGGCGAGGCTCGCCGCCCGCACTGGCGAGGCCTCGCCGCCCGACGCCGGCTGGCCGAGGCCTCGCCCCGGACCGGGCGAGGCTCGACCTCGCCCCGCAACTAGCGAGCCGGCCGCTCGGGACGCCGGGCGAGGCCGGGCCGCTGACGCCGGCGAGGCTCGACCGCTCGCAACCGGGCGAGGCGGCCGCCTCGACCCGGCGAGGGCGACCTCGCCCGACGCCGGCGGGCCGAGCCTCGCTGACCGGGCGAGGCCGGCCGCCCGCCGAGCCGGCGGCGGCTCGCCCGAACTTTGAGTCCTTATTTGAGAATTTGACCCCACTTGGAGTCCTTAATTGGAATTTTCCCTATTTTTTAGGGAAAATCAACAGTAAATTTTAATTTTTTCCTTTTTTTTTTTTTCTTTTTCGTTTCCTTTTCTTCTCTTCCTCCAAGGCCATAGCCGGGGCCGGCGGAGGTCGCGGCCTCAGCGAGGCCACCTCGCCCCGGGCTGGGGCAAGGTCGGCCGCGCCCGCGGCGAGAGCTCGCCGGGCGAGGCTCGACCTCGCCGCTTTGCCGGGCGAGTGTCGAGCTCGCTCAGATCCTGGGCGAGGCCGGGCCTCACGGCCGGGCGAGGCTCGACTCGGCCGGCAGACAGCGAGGTCGAGCCTGGGCCGCCCGCGAGTGGCCTCGACCCCGATCGGCCGCCGCGGCTCGACCTCGCTGGGCTACTACCGGCGCGAGCTCGACCTCGGGCCTCGCAACCCAAGAAGTCGGCCGCCCGAGCCCTCGCAACCGGCTGGCCGGCCTCGACCTGCTTGCTAGGCGAGGTCGAGCCTCGCCGATCCTCGGGAGGGCTCCTGCCGGCCGCCGGGCGTAGGCTCGACCTCGCGGCATGCCGGCGAGGCTCGACTCGCGCCGTTCAGCGGCGAGGCGAGGAAATGAGCCTCGCTTCTGCAACCTGGGCGAGGGCGGCCCGCCGCAGCCCGACGCCGGCGAGGCGGCGCTCGCCCTCGAGAGCGACCTCTGGGCGGCCTACAAGGTCATGGCCGTGAGGAGAAGAAGAAAAAAAAAAGAAAAAAAAAACAAAGAAAGGAAAAAAATTAAAAAGTGCATTCGATGCTGAATAGTAACATTCTCGCTCGGCCGCCCGACTCCACCTGCATTGCCCTTATTTGAAGCACTTTTTCAACACTCATCCTTCGACACTAAATCCACTCGGGGTCCTCTTTAAAAAAAAGGCCTGACTTTGGGTCCTTAATTGGAATTTTTCCTATTTTTTATCGACTAATTATTTCAAGCGATATAAATGATTATATATTTAAGGAAAATATTTTATGAATCAATGATTTTTTGGGGGAGGTCAAATTGTTTATCTCAGTTTATTTTATTAGACATTTATTAATTTTTTAAAATAAATGGAAGAAAAGGTGTTTGGTAAAATAACAGGAAATTTCGTCTCCTTTTTTGCGTCTTATTTTTTTCTGGCCCTGGCAATCCCGCTGCGCGAACATACAACAAGACTCTCTCTCTCTCTCTCTCTCGTCTCTCTCTCTCTAGGGTTTGGTTTGGTCACGGCAGCATCTGCGATACCTTGTTCGTCATCTTCTCCGATTCTCCTCCAAATCGCACCAGGTTTCGTCCTCGTCCGACTCTGATCTCTTCTCGACAGCGCTAGGGTTCCGGCGCCCGGCAGAATTATGTACATACCGCCGCCGTCTCCCCGCGTCCTCCCCATCGCGGCCTATGTGAATCTCCGCGCGTTCGGCCCCGGCTTGAATCCGTTCGCCCCGTACTGCCTCGCTCATCACTCCCTCTCTCGCTAAATCGCCTCCCCCTTGTCTTCTTGTTTTTGCTTCTCCTCTGTCTTTGCTTCTCCTCTGCTTTGCCTCGAATGATGTAAATTCGCCGGTCGTCGTTGATCGTTCTTGGGCCTCTCTCTCTCTTCCTTTCCCTTTCTGCCGGGAGCTTTACGGTGTAATCCGCTCGCGCTTGACGGAGCGGGATTTATTTGGTCTTTTGCGCTGGGGTTCTGTGGTTGATTGATATTACCCGGGTGCTTTGTATCTGATCATCATGCCTCAAGAGGAGGTGGGTACGATCCGGAGGAACCTGTCGCTGACGAGAAGGCGGTCGTTTAGGAGCCGGGTTGATGGGGACGACAGGGGTTGGACTCTGCTCCATATCGGTGCTCGGAAAGGCGACCTCAGGCAGGTCCGGTGATCCGATACTCTTTTATTGCTGTTCCTGTTTGTTTTGGTTGTTTGTCCTATAATCGTGTTTGGCCATTTTGTTTTTGTTCACGATAGAAGATCATGCTACGATATACCTTCTGTGTATTATACTAGTGTGGGAAAAGAGGAAAACAGTATGTTGGGAGATGGATTTTTTATCTATAATTGGTCTTAGTTGAATTGTTGTCATCTATGACGTAAGTTTTTCTACTCTCCTGGGGAAGCAATTAGCTAAAGGAAAGAATAAAGCTTCGGCTATTAAAGGGTTTTAGCTGATGTCACTACAACTCAAATTAAAAAATATTGGGAATTTGTTGCTCTTGTCGTGGTAGTTTAAAAAAATGATTATAATAAATGCATTCTATTGACAAGGTTTTGACAGAATATAGATAAAGTTAGCTCTACCCCTTATGAAGTGTTGAACTCGGTGAGGTACTGCTGGGGTATTTGAAAGTACATGCATATAGTTGGTTCTTGCAGAACCTACTCGAAGACTTGTGTTTTGCCAGCCTATTTCTTATGTGAACAATGAAGATTCTGAGACCTTGACTAGCGATTTTCAATGAGGCTCTTGCTGTGGATGACCCCTTCTGCCGAAATGCTGCAAATATCCCCTGGCTTGTCTTGCTCTGTCTGAACATTGGTCAGCGGGCTTAGTCCCTCCTGAACTTGTTTGATTAGTGGGCTTATTCCCCTTTCTTTCTGGTGATGTTCATAATTTTGAGTAACGATGCTCCATACGAGTAAAGTGGATAAAAAAGAAGTTGATTGAATGTCTGCTTATGTAGGGCCGTTGGGATTACCAAGGTTGGTGGAGTAAGTTTGAGTGATTAGGGAGCTAATCTGATTTTTCTTAATTTTTATCTGCATGGTCCTGGAGAATCTGGTCATATGATATTCAATATCAACTTAATAGAAACTGTTTTCTTCACAAGTATGGAGCTATCCCTTGAAGATGGGGGGTCATTACAATATCTGAAGATGAGTTGCATTGCAATAATTTGGAGTAAAATACGTGGCTATTACAAATAAGTAGATTGAACTTAGTAGTAATTATTTTCAAAGATTATGGTGCTCGATTCTCAAATGCAGGGAGATTCTAGTTATTGTGTTGTTTCATGTTTGAGCATCTTAGTGACGACAATTTATGTAATGCTGGAACTGCTTGTCTTTTGCAGTTCATGATTTCATTTTTCACATATATCATATATTTTACTTTCATACTTTTCCTTTGATTTCCACTTAGTCCTGTTTTCGAGAAATTTGTAGATGAATTTGAATTGTGTATTGCTTGTCTTTTCGAAATGCAATTTCCTGTCTTACAGTTTTTGGGCATTCTTCTTATCTAATCGAATCCTTTTTTTTTTCATGAAAGAAGTTTGATTAAGGTTTTTTTGGGAACAGGTGAAGCGCCTTCTTGATGAAGGAATAGATGTGAATGTGGCTGCTTGGGGCCCCAAATCAAAAGGGGTAACACCACTCCACCTTGCTGCTGAGGGTGGCCACGTGGAAGTCATGGATGTCCTGCTCGAGCGAGGTGCAAATATTGATGCTAGAACAAAAGGAGCCTGTGGCTGTGAGTGCCTTCTTATATGTTCCCACGCTCACCTCAAACCTACTTAATGTCTGATCTTCTTAAGAGGAGGCAGAATTAATCCCAATGTTCCTTGATGTTTGTTTTTTTAGCAAAAGAATTTGGTCAATGAGTGTGTCCGTAAGGCACTTTCTTTCTCGCCTGAACACAGGGAACTTTTGAAAGTAACCAAACAAGGGAAGATTACAGCTTTCTAGGTTGACTTTCTTGTGATGTGTTTTATTAGTGCTTTGGAATTGGAAACTCTGTTTGTCAAGTACGCTTGTAAGGCACTTGTTTACATAACCCTCGACAAAATATTTCTCTTTATAACCACAACAAAAAAAGCCTTTCTTACTGATGGGTGTTGGTTAAAATACTTATCTTTATTGAACTAAATACTTCTCGGGAAACGGAGGGATTCATAACTTTGCATTTAATTGCACTTGTATCCTACGTGGTTCACTGATGTTTGATTCAATGTTGACCCAGGGACACCTCTCCATAGTGCGGCCAAAGAAAGAAAACGGGAAGCAGTCAAATATCTGATAGAAAATGGAGCCTTCTTGCCCGATGACATAAATGATTGCAGATTCAACCCACCACTGCATTACTGCCCTGGCCTCGAATGGGCTTATGAGGAGATGAAGCGTCTTCAGCAGGAGAGCTTATCTGCTGGCGAGGGCTCCTCCTATAGCTCGGAAAGCTTATGACGAGTCTTCCTACGCACTCGGGACTCAGAAGCCTCTCTAATGAGCTGTGACATATTCACCATAGGATGAGGATTTCATTACCAGTGAAACATGCCATTATACCACTCTCGCACAGCCGTGTCTTCATCTTGTTGTATTTATTCTGATGTTTGCAGTTAAACACGGTACTCTGGTGTGTTTGAAGACGATGAATATCTTATGTGCATGAGAACCATTATAGGGGTGATATCTTGTAATAAAGCCTCGACTTTGTCCTCATTCCATAAGGAGTCGGGGCTGGAACAGAAGGCGGTTCCCAGCGCAGCTTTAATTGCCTTGTTATGTTTGGTGTGGACTACTGGGAATGAATGAGTAATTTACTTGTCTTGTCCATTCCTTCCATAGAAGAAAATGGCAGTTTTTTCCCTGATGAACTGCTTCTCATGTCGCGAGTTTTCATCACAATGAACAATTTGTCGTAATTTCAATAAAAGGAGTTGGTTACATGAGGACAGTCGAGGTGATTTCTGTAAGTCTTTGGTTCATTTTGCCTCAGAGAAGGAAACGGATTTATTACATTAACATGCGAATGCTCGAAAAAGAGAATGGTGATTTTTTTAGTAAGAGTTTTATTTAATCACAAAGGGAGTTTAAAAAATATTGCAAACCACGGGGGTCACGAGAAAATATACGGCCATATTCACAATATATTCTTTAAGCTTGGACAAAAGGACTACCTTCTTCATTGCCCTACGCATTTGTAAGTCTCGAAAAACGTGCTCTACACATATGGAAATGGGTGTATGAAACACATGAAACAGTACATATAAAAGGCCTTTGTTTATTGTTTCCTCGATCTGTTTCGATCAGTCCTTTTTCTTTCGGCTGTTCTATTTGTTTCGCCGAAAAGGTAGACTACAATCAAATCCAACTGCTTGCGGTGCGGACAATCTTTAGGAAGAGAAAATTCTCTGGAAAAATTTTGCTCTAGATGATGGAATATGGACCACAACAAGAGCTGGTAATGCTTGTTCAATTGGTGAAGAACTCTGTTTTTCCCATTTTATCGAAAGGACAAGTGAGGGGAGCCATACGTGATTAACTCAAATCGCAGCTTTTGAAAGGGGAAAATCGCAACAAAGATTTTAAGAACGTAATTGGCAAATCTACTGCCGACCGTCCTCTAATGCATCGCAATTAGAAGATTACCATGATTGGCCTGTTAAATATAAGGGTCAACTAGCATAAACCACAAACATTTCCTAAGACTGAAGGATGACCTTCAACCTTCAGTAAGACAAAATTATGTAAGTGGGCAAAGCTCTCAGAGACCATTGATGTAATTCCCTCCTTTGGGCAAACGCTCGTATGCATATACTGATAGAATGCAAACAAGAAACTCAGAATATCCGAATAACCGCAATTATTTGCTTTTGTTTTTGAAATTCAAAATGAATTTCTTACTTCTGCCTCTGGCGTAGCATTAACATTGCGTAGTGCCACTCAAATTCATTGCCTACAAAATTGAACTTCTACGAGCTATACAGGACTTTCAGCATGACACCCAGTTAGCATCATACTAAAGATGAAAAGCGGACATGACAGCGGTGTTAATATGCTGCATCCCGCCTTAGCAAAGTAAATTTTTGCAAAAGTTTTCTGTCTCGAGGTGATTTCGACGTGCCGAAGTTCGCTTTGATGCAGCAGTGGAAGCCCAAGGGACGTACCAGTCAATCAAAATTGACTGTTCAATAAACCCCGAGCATTTTGGGCACACGATAACTGAGCTGTGCTCCAAATCCACCTTTTGCGTGTGCTAGGTAGTTTCGTATGCCATGTCAAATCAGGAGGTTGTTTAGAGACATTTGCAATATCGCTTCTTTTGGTTTAGACAAGCCCTTTATCTTCTCGCAGTCGAATTAGCAGCAGTCTTTTCTTTCATAGCTTCTTTCTCTTGTTTCTTTTTCTCCGCATCAGCCTGCCTTTCATTCTCTTCACGTGACTTATTGAACATCTTCACGAAGACGGCCAAGATTTGAGTCACTGCAAACACAAGCAACGAAAATACTCACTACTATCATACACAGAATGGAGGAAAGAGTCAGTCGGCACAAAACAACCCAGATAGAGAACACTATTTATTTGACCAACAGACAATTTAACTTCTTTCAAATGGAATTTTATGAATGATGAATCTTCAAGTGATGGTGCTAATATGACTGCAAAGAAACATAAACAGACCAACATGAAGCCTGTTGGTGAAAAAAGAAATTACTCATGGCAAGTGATGCATGTAGTCTCACCAGGATGTCAGGTGATGTATACAAGCAAGTAAATGGTCAAAGAAGTAATTTGACTAGGCCATAATGAATTGAATATGTCGATAAGTATATAGTAAAGATAAATTGTACCTTGTTCAAAGGGACAGCGAGCTGGATCCTCTCCAAAATATTGACATAGAGAATCGGCATTGCGGCCCTGCAAGATAGTGGATTCATGTAAAAACAGAGATATCGTATGTTGAAGTTGAGTCGAACCCAAAGAGGACTCACCACTTCAGAGTACAATGAAATGAGTGACCTCACTTCAGCTTCAGCAGTGTCAAGAAAGCTCTTCAACACCTGAAACAAGAAACATCCCATAGGCGTGTAAGGAGGAAAAAAGGCCAGGGATTGGTTCATTCTGTCTGACTTGTACATGCAATGCAATTAATTAAAAAGTGATTAGAGTAACTAAACCGGTGGAGCTATTTAAGATTGGCATACAAGCAGACAGAGACAAAATGACAGAACAAAAGAGGACCTCTTGAAATTCCAGAACTCGAGCAAAAAATGCTTGAAGAAAAACAAACTCACTGGCGACAATATTACCATCCTTCCCTGTAATAATTGAACCAAAAAATTTGATTTCACTGAAGCTAAGAATTGGAGAAATTGTAATACAGCCTGCAATAGTTCCGTCAAGACCAGCATGAGCCCCAACAGTGATGTCAGTCACTGTACTCGGTCAACCAAAGTAGACATTCCCTACTTATTCAGAAAGCTAAACCATCAGTTAGCAGCTCTCCACAATTCACAATTTTTCATTACTATTTGTTCAGTATTTGTCTCTGTTGGAAGCTCATGGTAGAAGCCCGATACCTTCACTCAAGGAGATCACCAAGGGAGAACCCAAGTCTGACCTCGTTAACATATCCAGTTGGACTCTGACCCAAAAAAAAAAAACAAATAACATATCCAGTTGGACCCACCTTCACTCAAAAGCTTAAGCCAATGAGTTATGGGCCAACTTGGATATATTAACTCCTCTAAATCACATCAATTCTGCAATGTGGGATTTCTCTAACACAACTCACACGCGTATCTCAACAGTTTCTTGAGTAGTTACAGAGTTGTGTTAAAAGTAGGACATGGACAAAAATCTCGTGATGAGGAAAAACAAAGGAAGAGGTTAAAAGGCAAATAACAATTTGAGATAGTCAAATCATCAGCAAAGGGGAAAGGAGGTATTGACGTGGATCCATTTACAAGTTAAGAAGATTTACAAAGCGTTACTCACTTTCTGGAAGCCAGCAGATATGGCACCATCATTTTCAGAACCAGCAAGTTCTTGCTCGACCTTTTCAAGACCTTTGCTCACAGCTTGCATTTCCTCAGCCAAAGATTTCAATTGGATCTAGCCATACAGTTAAGAAGCAGATTGAAAAGGCAACAACGTCAGTACATGAAGTAGGGCTAGTAACAAGGGATAATATGCAGGAGCAAATCCAAAGTAGTATCTTTATACCTTAGAAGCAGCTTCTAAATGAACAAGATCCTTGCCAAAATCCAGCAATTCTGGCATTTTTTCAGCAAGAAGCTGGAGAAGACAAGAGGAAGTTCATAAAATTCACATTCACATCAGACTGCCATATGAATACATGTTCAAGAAAAGAACCAACTAAAGGATAAGCAAAGAGCTGGAAAATCAAAATTAACCAATGACAAAGAGCTGGAAACTTTCAAGGATAATTTATTGATTCTTAAACTATGAGAATAGTTCCGTCAATGAGTATACTCCAGATGATCTTAACCAAAGAAACTTTCATTCAATAGCATTGCAGAGATGTTCAGAAGATAGGTGATGTAAGTATTAAACAAGTAATAACATAAGACTGTATACACAATGTATCATAAAAAATAAATACGTAAAGTGCAATTAAATTAAAAAAAATAGTAATGAACCATTTCATGCAAAGCTGTTGTTAAGATCTAATAAATGAAGAACATCCAGTTGCACAATATAAAGTTGAAAAATAGGCTAATTGAAAAATGGAAGTATCCACAACAGTTTGTTCCCTCTACTCGTGTGCATGAGGACGCCAATAATGATTTCAATTGGCATGCAGTCTTCAATAAGATTAAGACAACTTATCTCTTGCAGGTGAAATTCACGTTCATCTTTCCTTAACAATGACAGCCCATTCCTTATAGCAGACTGCTTGTTAGTGGTGATAAGGGAATCCCCCCAAAACTATTATTTACTAACTGAGTCTAAAGTATTTGGACAACAATTTGCAATTCAAGCCATTGCACAAAGATATAATCATGAAATTCATTGCAATGTGCTATGAGGTATGATAAGTTTGCATATTTGAATGCAATCATCGAATAATACATTAGCAAATCAATCTCCATACCTATTGTACCACTTCCAAGAGACAATGATTGACCTATAAGAGAGAGGGAGAGAGCGGAGATTTACTTTCTGATTGAATTATTTTTCTATCAGGAGATTACCAAGATTTACTTTGATGTAATTTTCTTTGTCCTTATACTGTTTTAAGAGGCAGTCTTTTACTTCTCGCCTTGCGCATTTCTTCCATCACTCATGAAGTTTTACATGTATACAATAGCAAAAGGGTCTCAACAATGCTCCTCCAACACTAGAGCTCGACTTACTAAGAGTACCTATTTTCATATCACTCTTAATCATGTCCAATTTCCCACCTTCCAGGGGTTGGAATGTGTAACAGCCATCTAGTCCATTAATATCATGAAATCTTGGCAAAAGTTCACAATATTTTACCTTGCATAGGTAATGCATCAAAGTCATCTTGTTGTTTCTTGCACGAGTATCAGACAATTTAAGGAGGCTGTCCAGCTTGAAGCCAATAGCGGAACCTGTAATATGAGAACCAATATATGTCAACTATGACTCGCGGTAATTAAATCTGTCAAAAAGGATGGAATGTCACCTCGTGCAGTTCCTTGGTTCAATGCATTGCCCAGAGTGAGAATGGTTTGCATTATCTGACGTAGTTTGACTGACTCTTTCACCTACGTTGACATATAAGAATGGATGCTAAGTGTATTGAGTTTTTCATTGCAATGAATAATGCTTGATATAGACGGTACCTCTTCAGCTGCATCATTAATGGTACTGAGGTTAGACCTTAGGTCATTAACCTAGAAGCAGAAAAAGCATGTGACCACTGATATATTTCGTAATAATGGGAGATGGAACTAGAAATTTACATGGCAACTAAAGCATGGGATACACACCTGACTTGAAAAGGTGATCCTGAAAGCAAACACTCGTAACTTGGATTCAATGCGGGGAACCTTCATCAGTTCCAAGAAAAACTGAAACATCAACAGCCAATTTCATCAATAAAAAATGAACTACTGAAGAGAATATAGCTTTCCGACATGTGGTTAGAAAGAAACCTGTTCACACCTCCCTAGCGATCCCTTGTCACCAGCATAATTCTGGAAAAGGAGGAGCAATCGCAGAGTACTTTAGTAAAAGAAAGGCATCCAACAAATATTGATTAAACATAGAACAGCTGACTAGAAAACACAATTTCAAGAACTATCACTTTTAACATGAAATAGAAGTTTACTACCAAACACACACTAAGATATACTGGTGTGATCAGTATGGACTACCCCAAGCTACTGTACATTGCACCAAATGCGTTAAGGATTTTGTACAGATGCCACCAGGTTACCACTCACCAGCACCAAGTAGGAACATCACTTTATCATGTCAACACAAGAAACATCTCAATTCTTTCGTTCTCTAGAAGAGTCAATATTTCAAATCTAATCGGCAGAAGCCAGTACCTTAGGCAGATGTTTTCAAAGGAAAGCTCTGAAAATAATCTTGTCTGATCAGTCCAAGGATAATTGGTTAAGGACACTCAGAAGATGCAAGACACCTTTAGATCAATGGTGCTAATTTTTTTTTTAATTTCAACTAAGAAGGTTCCAAGAAGGTACTGCCCCTATACAGCTTCAGATGTAAGCTACCCATATACACAATTATGCACAAAAGATTATTTCTAGCATTTCCAACAAACAAGATGTATGAGATTGAACTCTCCTGCTATACCAAAAGTGAAGACTGTAAAACCAATTATCCCTGAGAGAATCCCCAGAGGATTCAACTCCTTGAAATGCCCCCTTGTTCCTCTCTCTCCAAATGAGCCAAAAAACGAGGAGAGGAATCATCATAGCAATTTGCTTCTTTCCAACAAACGAGCAGATAATCCCTCCCCAAGCCCAAAATTCGTTTTACACCATGCCTGAAGTCACCCAGTTTACTCCTAATTTGCAAAACTGTAGTCCAAATCTTTCTATTCCAGCATAAAAGTAGGTGATTCCCATACTCCTCTTCAATATTGCACAAAAAAAATAGATTAGTCAACCAGTTTTTTTTTTTTCTGTTCTAAAGATTATCCAAAGCAATAATATGTTCCCAAGCTGCTTCTGAAGCGAAAAAAGAAACCTTCAAGGAAACTTGACTTTCTAGATAGGTTCCTAAAGAAAGAGAGTGCTCTGTTTTAATTGCTTCTGAGCACAGTTGAGATCAGAATAATAGAATTTGGCAGAAAAGGTTTCGCAAGTACAGTAGCCTACTATCCCCTCTCATATCTAACATAGCCAAAAGCTATTCCATTCCATTTCTAAAGGAATCTTCCATATGACTGTCATTCAGGTAAAATTCGCACTTGCAGGCATCAGCACATAATACACAACTCTCCCCTGTTGACGACACCACTCTTGTGCACAAGCTAAAAGAATTTACCTATAGATGCTTTTCACTTTACTAGTCCAAAGAAACAAAAAAAGGGACATGTTACTGCATAGATGTTCTCAAGAAAGGCTTCCAGGCTATCAATCCAGGGACCAATTACATCTTGTTATTGAAGAATCATTATCAACAGAAGAAAAGGATAGAAGAAAATATGTACTACCAGGAAGGTACAGCCAGTAAAAATTCAGACAATTGCCTATACCATCAAGGACATTCCAAGTAGGGAAGCACACTCCACAAGAAAGGAGATATGCAGAAAGAGCATGCCTAGCAAGGAGAATGCATGAGCACGAATTGATTTGTGATTGGTGTGAGCAAGTGCATATGTGCACAGGCACGTATGTGCATGCATGTAAGGCTGTGTGTGCGTGCGTGCGTGTGCATGAGAGAGAGAGAGAGAGAGAGAGAGAGAGAGAGAGAGAGAGAGAGTAAATACCTTCAAAGTCTCCATTTCTTCCTTGGTAGGACAGAACTTGATGAGATTTTCAACCTGATCAATGTCCAAAGCTGAAGAATCCAAAGCCAGTACTGCATTCTGGGAAAAAATGGTACTACTTAGTGTGACCAACTCACATGAGTAAACTTTTCAAAGACAATCGCTTTTGAAAAAGAAGAAGATAGATAATAGGATAATACGAATCATGAGCCATAAAAACAGTGAAAATAATACCAGCTCTAGCTGTCCACACATATTTTTTGTCTTTATAGGACAGTGCATGATGCAGAAGGTTAAACATGCTTGTTTGCATCTCATGCAGGCTTAAAACTAATCATGAATAGATGTTACGTGATAACAGAAATTTTCCTTCATCTCTATATTATACTGCATAAAAGTGATCATTTGTCACACTTAATCTATCAAATGCTTAGCAAAATATATAATTTGTCCAATAAATTGCATTTAGTAGGTTTACATCGACAAACCCCTAAAATTTTAAACTCCAGAACTCCTTTAATCGACCTACATAATTGTTCTACCATCCTAAAAAAGAAAAGGCAAGAAAGCAGATGATATATTTCAGTCCACCATCAGTAAAGTTGCTTTTTTGCCAGCTTTGGTGCAAATATATAGATTTATATCATCCTCAGCAATGTAATGAAAAATCCCAGATTAATGCAGGGATCAGCAAGAAGTTTTTGTGGTCTCTAGGGAAAACACATTTTTTCCCACAAACTTTTCAAATAGCCTCATAAGAAAGCTAATACAATGCATAGCACTGAATAAAGAGAGCTCAGGGCCATGATACGACACCTATACCCATCCACTTAACTAATGCTAAATAATATGTCCAATATATATCGCAGATCAATTGCCTAATAGCTAATTTTTTTGGTAGAGATGGTCATGCAACAACTAATAACCATAAATCACATCAATTCTTGGGAATCAAGATATGTAGATTTCCAGTGAATATTAACAGTCAAGTCAAACTAAGGGGTGGAGAAAAACCTAACGTGTTTCTTGAACTTTATAATGATAACAAATTTAACTGTAATCAAAATATACAATATAATCAAATAGTATAGAGTAAAGGAGTTTAGTTCAGTAACAACATACAGTACTGGAAGCCTCCAGGAGATAGGAAATTAGTAAATTGCTCTTGAAACCTTCTTATCTCACTTTCACATGAAAAGAGGTAAATTTTTCCAAGATCACCCATGCTTTGGCAAAATTGCAAAAGATAACAAGATCCCAACTCCCCGGCTAGAACCTAGTTGATCTACGTAGCTAATATAGTACAAAAAGGTAGAATCAATGTGCATTTTCTTATATAAGTAGACTTATAACCTAACTTGATAGCCATAATAACTTTCTTTGCAATTGTCTGATAACGTGGATTCATGCCCAGTCATTTCCATAGTCTACTTGAATTAAACAATCCAAAACCAAGCCACACCCTCATCACACTGGGGTTGGGGGGAAGAATTGTACCCCATCCTCTTTTAAAATTGAACAAAGGCTACAGAATTGAACCACATGACAAAGAGAGAGTAAATGAAAAAAATTTTAAAAGAAGCATGTAAGTTGGGTGGCTGCAGAAAGTCAAACCCAATGGGATATCCAGATTCTTCTAAGTATTCGACAAGCAATAACAACTTATTTGCATGACAAATTAAAACAGGAAAAACTCCATAAATATGCAACTGGAATAAAGACAACTTACCATCATATCCGGCAGAGGAATTTTTATCTTTGAGAGCATTATTTCACAATTATATGCTCTACGCAAGTCAACCTGCCATTTGAAAGTAAAACATATTATTCTTGACATAAAAATTTGAATAACAGAAATTGCCATCTGATCCTCGAAAAATATATTACCACCGATAATATAAGGAAGGCACCCATGATTGTCTTACCAAATTAGAAAAACAATTAAAAAAGACTTATAACAATAAGTGGCTTTCTTTAAGCCTGATGAGAAAGGTAATCCAGAAGCCAATCTCTCCAGGCTATTGCAAATGAAACGGTTTTACCGCTTCTGGAGGTTCTTCAAAATTGACTTATTTGGTTAAGAATACTTCATGTGACTCCCAAACTAATACTTTACCCAGATAACATGCTTGTAGCATGCACTAACATCCTACTGGCTTCTACTACATTCGCAAATCAATTACTGTTTCTGTTCCAAGGACTATGGTTAAAAAAAGTAAAACACAAGTAGGAAAGAAAGTGTATATCTCACCAATTGCACTTTCTCAGGTTTATTGATGTTAGAACGCCGACCACCAGCTTTGTTACTCCCACTTCCATCCAAAGTAGCTGCCGAGAAGAGACTCTCAAGTTCTGATATGTCTATTTCAGGGGCCCTGTCAAGTATTAATGGTGACAGGAAGCCTACTATTGGATAAACTTTAATACTTCTCAAATAATATGAAGTGCAGAAAGTATAGGCAGCATCTAAAAGAAGATTCAATGGTGAGAATATAGCTATATCTCCTATATTGCGTATCAACGAACCTTGATTGATTTTCCAGCTTCTGAGAATCAGCCCATAAACTTCCTTGCATTGCACGTGTTACTTTTACCCAGTGCAGAGGTTTAAGAGAGTTTTTTTTAGGTGGGATAGAAGTCGCACCAGCAGATCGACCCCTCCCTTGATTCATTGACCCTAGAGTTCTTCCCCTTCCACTAGATGGCAGAGGTGGCGGCGCTACATTTGTCCCCTTAGCTCCCGGAAATGGAGGTGGACCAGGAGGCTTTGGAGCAGGTGGTGGAGGTGGTGCACCGGGAGGCTTTGGAGCTGGCGGTGGAGGTGGTGCAGAGGGAGGATTTCGAGCTGGTGGTGATGGGGATAGACCTGGCCGTCCAGGACCTGAAGGAGGTGGCGGCGGCGGTGGAGGAGGTGCACCGGGAGGCTTTGGAACTGTTGGTGATGGAGATAAACCTGGCTGTCCAGGGCCTGAAGGAGGTGGTGGCGGCGGTGGAGGTGGCTTGGGAAGGTTTACTGTGGAATTGATATTTGCTGTGGAAGGTGAAGGAGATTCTCCGGGAACAGCACCTCTTGTGGCAGACTTTAAATGCGATAATGCTGGGGGAGGTGGAGGAGGTGGCGGCGGCGGTGGTCCCCGCAACTTAAAAGTTCCAGAGTCTGAAAATGAAGGTGACAGCCCTAAAGATGTTTGGCTATGCACAGAGGAAAGTGAGGAAGTTGGTGGAGGGAGAGGAGGACCTTTAGAACTAAAGGTAGGAGGTGGAGGAGGCGGCGGTGGCAATGGTGGTGATTGCATTGGATTAGGCAGGGATGATTGACTTGGGAAGGATGTGAAGTAGGGAGGCGGAAGAGGAGGAGGAGGAGGAGGAGGAGTAGGAGGAGAAGGAAAGGTAGATCCTTTAGATGAAACAAATTGGGACGGTGGAGGCAGCGGCGGAGGTGGAGGCGGCGCCATTGCAGATAATTGCCTTGATCTAGATGAAAATGGTGGAGGTGGTGGGGGAGGTGTAGGACCTAGTGGAGGGAGTTTAGATGTTGGAGGTGGGGGAGGTGGTGGTGGGATATTAGGGGATGGCATAGAATTAGAAGGAAAAGAAGGGGCATGAGGCAGACCTTTTGATGGCAATGCAGCTCCATCAACAGTAGAAGTTAGCATTGATGAATTTTTTTGGTGATTGACATGTGGAGGTTGAGGTGGAGGTGGGGGTGGCCGTGGGGGTGGCCGTGGGCTATGTGGCCCTTTAGCTATGTTACTGGAAAGAGGTAAAGGGGGAGGTGGCGGTGGTGGTGGATGAAAAGTTGGCAAAAGAGGTGGAGGAGGTGGTGGCGGTGGAGGTGGCGCCTTAGAAGCATTACTAGAGGGAAGTGAAGGGGGAGCTGGTGGTTGATGGGAAGATCGTACAAGAGGAGGAGGGGGTGGCGGTGGTGGTGGCTCTACTAGTGACACTGGTGGTTGGGGTAGACAATCGGAGACAGGAGATGCCATAGACGAGGTTGATTCAAGCAAGTGAGTTTGAGCTGTTCCGTCGGCAAGGCATGGTTGCTGATCAATAGGTGGAGTATCAACTGTATCTGATTCTTGATCCACAAGTTCTGAAGTAAATTTTGCATCCAGCACATCATCGCTATCAAAACTTGTTTGCATCACAGAATTTCTCGGATCTGTTGACTGCTTTGGGAAAAATTCGAATGCTTCATCCGAACTATCTGCTGCACTGGAGGTATTATTTTCATCCTCGGAATCAGCGGGTGAAGTGTACAAACTTGCTTTGTTTTGTAGCCTAGACAGTTCTTTCACATCAGTCAAGACTGAAAGTTGTTTAAGCAACCAAAGTGCAGCATCATCATTGCTGTCGACCCATTCAACACCACTGAAAAGTTCCTGAACCCTGGAGAAAGCTTCTAAGGGCAATCCGCCTTTTTCCTCTCCATTCAAAACAGTGATCGGGGCTCTCGGTGGAGAGACACTCTCAACATCCCCAAACAATACCTGATGTGAAAAGTCAATTCAAAGGTTTGAGAAACCATCAAAAGAACACAGGCACAATTCTATAACAAATCAATCTGCAAAAGGGATAACAGCAATTTGTCTGGTCATAAAAAAAATCTCATTCTTTGGCCTTCTCTAACACTTACACTTTACTTTTACTATTCTAGCAAGGGGTTGCTTATAGAAATATTCACCTCTGCACGAAATCCTTTTGGATACCGCTCCTTTGAATCCCAAAGAATGTCCAAGTTCTCAGAGTTCAGCATCAGTATGTTTGATCGGATGAATGCAGTATTGAACAATATCCGGAACATCATAACTTCCCTTTCTGAGTCCAAGTCCAAGTGGACGCACTCCAGGACCACATCTCCTTGCACGAGACATTGGATGTCGATTTTAATGACATCACAGTCCCCCTGCAATAGGTCATATATTAGCACCCAATCTCCTTGTCAAAAATCTCTTGCAGACACTGTAAGGACATTTTTCCTATTTTAATGACATGGGCAGGAAAGATAAAAGTGGACTTAGCTTGCTAAACTAGCTATTCTTCAGATAAATCTTCTATATCTGTCTCTAAAAACAAGCGGGTTTTGGAAGACATTTATGTTAAGAGCTTTCCCTGTTTCATTTCAGGAAACACATGCAAAGAAAATTTCCATAGGATGATATTATATAGGTTGGTACACAAGAAAATGATTGATGGGAAGTGTTTTACTTCCAAATGACAATCGAACAGGAAGTTGAAAAATGTGGACAGAAGAAATCTTGCCTGTCGATAATGTCGAAGGGCCTTTTTCGTCTTGGACATGGAGAAAAGCATCTGCGTCGAAAGGCCCCCTCTACTAAGGAGATTCCGACCGAATATACGGATAAGTGGCCTGCAACCGTTCTGCGAATCAAAGCTAGGAATGGCTCTCAAGATTATACAATCCAAAGAAAGTGCTCGTTCTGGAGGTGGCCACTCAGGAGACATATTCCTCCTTGCAATATACTGAAGGTACCGAAGCTGGGAAGGCAACGGATTCAACGGTGAGAGGAGCTGCAAAAATCCTTTAGGAGCCTCTCGGTGAACAATTTCGAGCGTTCTCCGTTCTCCACCGTACAATTTTCTGAAAATCAAGAAAGCTGCCAGCAGGAATGCCAAGAGTGGCCAACCTCCTCTCTCGCAGTGCAGTAGAATGATGTTCTGCTGATTCGCAACCAATAGCCAGCTCTCGCAGACGCGAAGAAAATGTTGAATTAATGACAAAGGTAAGAGGGGACAACCCTCATACTGGCGCGGATAATCCATGATAGTGACGTCATAGTCGCACAGAGTTTTGGCGAATTGGCTGCGTTTCTCACCTTCACGGAAATTGAAAGCAAGAAATGCCGAGTCCGGAAACTCTTCATGTAACTCAGCCAAGATCTCATGCAGGTAGACTTGGTACATTTCGTCCGGCAATACCTCCGTTGAGAAGCAGGAATCGAAAACTGCGTAAACACTTAGTAATTCAAATAGATGCGCGCATCAAAAAGAAGGGGAAGCGGCAGTTGAGAACTGAAGTTAGGCAAATGAGGGATGTTACCGTAAACCCGGTCGACAAATTCGAGCAACCCATCTGGGGGTCTTTTGTAGAAGAATCTACTGAGGAGGGACATTTCCGTCAGCCAATTCTATCACATTCGGAAACCCACCTACCATTTCACACACAACGAAAAGAAGAACTCCTTTAATCAAGATCAAACTAGGCTCTCATCGGCGTTCAGATATCAATGATGGACCCACCCAAAAATATAACAATGATCGAAATTCATTCGCTGCAGACAAACACTGGGCAATCAAAAAATGCAAAGCGCGAGCTCAGAATTCCAAACTCCCCAACCCAGGAAACCCCCACCACAACGCCGAACGCCCCCACTTAGAACGGCGACAACGCGCATTGCCAGAAATGCTCGAACAAGAAAGCACCATACGAATTCAAGTTGCGAATTTGGAGGCAACCCAGAATTCTGGGATTCATCGATCGGCTCGGGACGCACCTGAAGTGAGAGGAAGTTCCCAATTCGGAGACGAACCAGTGAAGACACAAGCTCTGCAGCGACTGGGGGAGGCTCTGAACTTCACTCCTCTGACATTTTGAAACTTTGAATTTGGGGAAGAAGACGAAGGAGAAGGAGAAGAAGAAGGAGAAGAAGAAACAGCACCTGATTCTTCGACTGGGCGAGATTGACGGGTTCATTTATGGACGGCCCAGGGGGCAGAGAACGCCATGAAAGCCACAAACACACTTTTCACAGTTCCAACGATCTTGCTGCTCGTTTGAAGTGGACTTGGACACGGACGTTTCAAGGCCACATTTAGCCCAATTCGAAGCCTCTTGGCCCAAGCCCAGTCCGTCCATCGGATCTCTCTCCAATCCCGTCCGCATGGAATGGCCAGCGATGTTGGCCGGAACATGAGTCAAGATAGAATTGGATAGGATGGAATAAGAAATTTAACAATTTTGTCATATCCTATCTACTGTTTGGTAAACTACGGTTTAAAGTCAGATAGTATATTCGTTGTTTGGTTGAAACTGGATATAAATGTAAAGGACACATATGCCCTTAGTAGTGCCTAATAATATCGACCAAATGCTACAAAAACGGAAAGCAAGATAGTGGCACACGCTTAACTCGTATGTCATAAGCAAGCTTTTAGCTCGTTGACGAAAAGTCATGCGGTTCTGAACTGTGATATGGGTTGATGTAAAGTAAAAACATGATTACAATATGCCTAGGAAAATTGCCAGTCCTGAATTGTGAAAACACGTAAGGGTCTCGTTGTAGCTTTGTTAAAGTTTAAAAGGCGTCACGCTAATCTATCTTGGTAAAATTTGGGGGAAATTACAACCGGAGGAATTTAGTCGTGGTTACTCTGTAATAAGCTCAATGGTAAATCGCTCTTCTCTAAAAGAACAGAGAACATATACCACATCATTAAAATCGCAACTTTCCAATGACAGATAGGCTACACTGCTTGAGTTTTCTATGTTTCCTTTGTCTTGCGGATACTTGTATAATATTGTATTCAAAGTGATTGAGTAAGCGGGCTCATATGCCCGAGGCAGACTGCCGATGTTTTCGGGCCGATGAATTCTTGTTGAGCTTGACGATCATATAATGTATCACCATGTAAGTTTGGAAGTCTAGCCTGTCGTTTATTGCCTTCAAGAAATCCTTAACATCATCCCTTCGAGAAATTCTTGCATTGCCTCTGATAAATCCTCGGTTTCCTTTTCTAATGTTTTTTTTGTCTAGACTTGGATTCAAAAATCGAGTACGGTCACGACATGAATAACAGGTAATTGTGATTAAATTGGCCCATGTGAAGCGGCTCGAAACAAGTACATGGCCCTCACTCTCTCGCAGCCACCGGCGGCCTGCCATGGTGGCAAGTGCTGTCTATTTCTTATCTTTCAACCATGGTGGTCCATATAGTTCATGTGAAGGTAAGAAAAGACCTCTCTACCTATTCAAACCCTCTTGGGATTTGAGATGGTCCTTGCGTTTCCCAACCTGTTTTTATGCATGGCAGCATCTGTGCAGTTTTCAAATTGTTCTTTTCTCTTCTCTTTTTCGTGCCATAATTTTTAACTTTCCCCTGTCATCATCCGAGCAAAAAAGACGACCCTTTCAAGGTTTCACCGGGGCCTGAAAAGGGAAAAAAGTTCTGTGAAAGGAGTTGCCAGAAAGATGCAAAGTTTGAAATGGGCATTTGCAATGATTTCAGTCTAGATGTTCACAGAAATGCCATCTCCTTTCCATGACTTTAGTCATTCTAGAACTACTGCTGCTAAATGAGCACTGTCACTGTGTCAGTTGCTCTCTTTTTTTTTTCTATTATATGATTTGATGAGAGCTGAACATGGAGATGCAGAAATTGTTTTGACTGGCTTTCCGTATGAAAGCCTAGGACCAGCAAAACTCACTTGGTTTTTTTAACTTTATTTTAAGACAGGTGGGTCTACAATGATCTGGAAATGGATTCAACTTATGGCCCAAACTGTGGTCTACAATTTACTCATTTAAAAGTTTTAGTACTTTTAAAACGTGTCAACCCACCAAACTTTCTTTGGGTTGATGCTTCTAATGGCTAGTATCGACACATCCTCAATCCCCAATAATTTAATCTTAATTCGATTTCACGGTCTCTACTCAACACTGGAATCACGTCATTGTTTTCTAGACAAGCATCTTCTTAGGACCTTTTGGGTTAAAGGTTCAGACTTTTTAGTTATAAGTAAATTGCTAAAAATGCAGCCAAATGTTATGTAGATTTTTTTATAAGCTTGAAAGATTGCGTTAAGTTTTTCATACTAGTAAAAGGTTGTGCATTTTTTTGATACCTTTGAAAGATCATGTCAAACGCTTTTTAAAAGATAAAAGACCATGCATTTTATTCTTGGTATTTACCCCCATAAAATCACAAAGGGCAAAATCCTGATTAATTCCCTAGTATTAAAAGAAAAGAATCCTTGTGCCATTGTGCAGGAAGAAATTTGCAAAGCGCAGTTGATAACAATGAAGTCAACGGGCCGACAAAAATAATTAAAATCCTGAAATTACAGGCCAGAAATACAATAGTTATCTACTTAATTTTAAGATCTCCACCAGCTCTCTGTCCGGATCCATAATGTCTGAAAAGGACCGTTGGTTCGTTCCGTCATTCACATCCAAGTAAATCCCCAATGCACAAGACCCAATCTTTTTGTAAAAATAAAAAACTGTGCCGCTGCATTATTGATCCATCAAAACCAAATCAGTTCAGAAGAAAAACCCAACAAGAAAAGAACCAGTATCCTCGCTCTTCCCCCACTCAAAGCGCTCGCACCCACTCACAGACTCACACTCGCCCCCACTTTCATGTCCCAGTAATGGCAACACATGAACAAGAACAAGAACCAGAGTACCAAGAACACCCGCCAGAGCAAGAACCAGACAACAGGAACGAGAACAAGAACGAGAGCCTCTCTGTCTCCACCTACTTGGGCCTCAGCTTCTCTTTGTTCTTGGCGCACCTGCCCAAGAACTCGCTGACCCTTTTACCTAACCTTCGGACCAAGGTCAAAGACCTCTCCTTTATGCTCCTCCAAGCCGAGGACCAGCTGAGGCAGATGAGATCGAGGAGGAAGGAGGACTCGAAGGCCAACGCGAGGGTGGTGGAGATCTTCGCCAGCCACAGGAACGCGTGGCAGGAGGAGGAGAGGAGGCTGATGCAGCAGCTGGACGAGGCCAACGAGGAAATGGCCCACTTGAGGGCGAGGATGGAGGAGAACGAGAGGTTCGAAGCAGAGTACAAGGCTAGGGTTGAGGAGTTGGAGAGGGAGGTTGGGGAGAGGGATGAAATGATTGGGTTCATGTCAAGGAGGGTTGAATTTGGAGAAGAGAGTGACCGGAATGGTGGTCATGGTGATGTGGAGGAAGCGAGTGAGTATGATTATGGTCAGCAGCAACAACATCATCACCATCATCACTACCAGTACTTGAATCGGCAACAAGAAGAGCAAACTGGGAATGGGTTTGGTTCTGAGTATTTGGGGTCTGCTTCCAAGTTATGGGCTGAGAAAACCAATGTTTGGCAGGTATGGTTTTTGCTTTTTCCTTCTGCTTTTTGGGTTTGTTTTTGCAATGCTGTTTCACTAATGCCTACAAATTTTTGCACAATCTTATATTGAGAACACGTGTGCTGATTTCGATCTTGGGAATGAAAAGATTCTGGTTTTTCATGAGTTTTTGAGTAATTATGATAATGGGGAAAGTTCGGGGAAAGTTCGGGGGCGGTTTCTGGGCTTTATTTCTCGTTATAACTTTTCTTGATATTCTCCGTTTTGCTATTTTTATTTTCACGATTAATATTTTCTTGAGTTTCAAGATGAAAGTGAACTACTTTCTCATGACTATAACTTGTTTGAGTGCCAGTTCACCATTCTCTCTCACTTTGCTCCGGGAACTCGGTGTGTTGTACTGGAGTCTTCATCTTTTTTCCTGGTAAAACAATGTGAAGTCTCTTTGTGTTGCAAGAATCTCTGCATTGTGTACGGATTTACACTGTCTAGCCATATGTCTTTACCTTTATCTAGGAATCTTCATAATCAATACAAACAGGGAAAAGTTAAGAAATGAGTTCTCAAGATTCTTCTGGTTTCATGTCTATATCTATTAGATAATGCCTTTAATCTGTAGTACCAGTGAAAAGTTTGACTAGCATGAGTTCAGGTGTAAAAATCAAATGACGCAGTTCTTATTAAGTTTGGTGGATAAATATCTTTCTCGTGGAGTTTATCCACCTTTTCCGGTTTGGTAAATTCTTTTTCCTTTCACTATGCGACATTGTGGTTTTAGTCATCAAAAGAGACATTTTATATTCTGGTTTATGTTGGTTTGGTTGATTTGCCTGGACAGTTTGGCCCATTTCCTTGTTCTCCATTCCCAGTGGCATTCTCGTTATTTTGCTGGGGACCATCCTTATCCCATCGATAAGGATGTATGAGAAGATCATCTATCTACATCCACAGTATGTATGTAATGGTAATGCCAAACATGTTTCTGAAGGAACGTGAGCTCCTTCAGCAATTACTGTTGGCTGATACCAGTTTAGAGCCACAAATGCTAATGATAAAAAGAAAAGGGTCAAAAGGTTGTAATTGTACAAGGAGATGCTAATATGGTGTCCCTAGTGTGAGCGACCAAGTTGCCATGAAAGCAGAGCAAACATATCGGTTCTTCCAGCCACTTGTGTAAAATAGAATCTACAGGGACAACTTTTGATGGTTCATCAGATCTTGAAAGTTCGATATCGTAAAATCAATTGTTTGTATAGATACTTGATTTGAGTCGTTGGATGACTAACCCATGTCTGGAATAAGATCAAACTTGATGTAATGTATAGCTCTAATAATGTGCTTCCTGAGCTTATTAAACGTTTGGTAAATGTGAAGCTTATTATACTTCGACTGTGGAATGAAACTTCTACTGTAGAATGAAGCTTCTGAGATAACTGTTGGGTAGGAGATTGCTTATTTACGTGTCGGAAATGGGGTGACCTGGTATTTCTGGTGAAAACTGGGTAGGACATTACTTATTTACGTGTTGGAAATGGATGATCTGGTATTTCTAGTGAAAACTTTCTTCTCCAAAGATAGGAGAAAGTGAGATTAGAAAACTTGTATTCAACAATCTCACTTGTTGACTCTAATTTCCACTCAAAAATTCACTTTTGTTGAAATTTGTTAAAAGATATGAAGGATGCAATTGCTAAGTACTTTAATATAGCTTGGAATTCATGGTTCAGCAGACTATAGCTGTCATTTTGATGGTTTCTTAAACAAACCCTACTCGGAGGCTCATTTAGCTTTGCTCAGATTATGATTTTGCACAGAAGATCGAAATGTTCGTTAGGTGCACTAACGGCAGATAAATGATACTTTTACAGGGGGCAGAAGAGTGAAAACATGTAGCGATTAGATTGAGACAACTTAGTGTTATACGAATGTTTCATCAACGAATTTGTTGTGCTCGTTTCTCAGATGGCATTATACACACTGGAATTCCTAAGGTGACGATACTAATATCTTACCTGTCTTATTTAATGGGCAGGATGTACAGTATGAATCCCTCGAGTCATCACATCATTCAAAGCATTATGTGACAAGGTATGTGCAGATGGTTTATATGTTTCCTTTGACCCTTTTCATAATGCTATTTTCCTGCAACTCATTGGAGGCAATTTGTTTCCTGCTCAGAAGGGAGTCTCCTTGGAAACTGAATGGTGAAGGGGTTGGCGTCTCTTCTAAATTGAAGTTACTTGAACAAGAATTGTTGAATTTGGAAAAGGCTGGGGATGGTGATCCTTCGAAGGTTCCTTCGCTAATGAGGAAGCAGGCTAAAAGATATCAAGCTCTAGCAGGAAAGATTGACGATCTGTGCAGAAAGATGGTATTGGCTATTTAAGTTAATATTGTTGCTTACAAGTCTTTTTGAGCTGCTTGCTATTGGGAGATGCATAATACATTCTAGTTTTGTTGCGCATGAGGCACCGATAAGCTGATTAGAGTTTCTTGTCAGCATGAGTGAAGCAACAACGCATGTGCAGTTGATGACTTAGATATGGGGAAATAACAATGAACCTAATACGCAGATATTAACCAAATGCTAGATCTAGATTGTGCTTAATTCAAAACTTTATATTGGATCTTATTCCACTAGGGTGACGTATCAATCCTACTCGAGCTGATGTTGGGTACCTTATCAGATCGAATCTGATATACTTACCTTCCGTAACATGGTCATAAATGTTAACAGAGTAGTAGCTCTAGTAGACATAACAAAAGGTCATCTTAAGCATTTCAAGTCTATTTTATATTTGTGGCCTGACATTCCTCTGCTAGTTTTTAGGTTGATCACGTGACAACCATCTGGGTGTCATTATTCCTGGGAGGCATCGGTAATTTCAAAATCTACATTTAGGCCCCTAAAAAGGAACAGTTTCATGAACACTAACATGGTTTGTTTGTGACACCAAACCTGACTTCTTCCTTTAGTGAGTTACCGACTTCAATAGGGTGTATAATTTACCATGACTAATAGTCACTGAAGTTCAATAGTTATTTTCTCTGTTCTCTTAATTAAAAAAAACAACACTGTATAATGTGGAAGTAGGTAGCTGAAGTTGATACCCTTTTGTCCATATGCCACAGCAAGCTGGCGATCCTTGTGAACCGACTTTGAGCTCGGAGTTTAGGACTCAAAGGCAGACCGAATTCTTACTAGAAGCGTTCAGGCTCCAACAGCGTGCAACTGAGACAGGACAAAAACTGACAGCACTACACGCTGAAGTTGGGAAGAGCTATTACGAGGAGGAGCTCGGGGGCCATACCAAATTAACCACAAGACGGTCCATGGACTCGATAAGGAACAACTTCAAGGAAATCCAAAGAAACCTGGAGATATGGTTGGCTCGAATAATCGGGGACTTGAAGGGGATTCTTGCCAGAGACGGAGCATCTCGCGTGAGAGAATATTATGTTGCTAGATATCCTTTTGTGCAGTAGAATCTCTAATGCTGTATGAAGCTCTAATCTCTAGAAACGGTTGTGATTATTTGGTAATCTGATCTGAAACTTTGAAAGTGGCGATTATAAGCTGCATGGCACTGAAATGGAAGCTGTACATGATGTTTTTTGGTGGCATCGGAGTTAACTGACTTGCGTAATTAAAATCGTAGTGACCATAAGGATTGGACAATGAAAACAGAGAGTTTTTAATCTAAGTCTCGGCTATGTCGAAAGCAACCCGACATGAGCATGATATGTCATGATGAAGATCCATTGGAGAGCCCAGAGATTAAATTATCTTAAATAGAAAGTGAAGGCTCTGGGATATCCTGAGCATTGAGCATTTATCAGTCATTCAGCTCCTGGTCGGTATAAAAGATTAGAGCTTTTGTTTCTGTTTTCTGTCTTCTTTTTTGTTCCTTTTTATGTATCTTTAGTTGTTCCTTTTGCTAAAGATTAGCGCTAATCTCCTTTTTATGTCATCAACAATCTCAGGCCTTTAACCAGTCGATCTATTTCCACAGCGCATCTGTTGAAAAAGATCGAACTTCGGTTTTCCGTTCCTTCTGTCAGGTGGGTTTACCAAGTCGAAACACACGATTTACGACCCCTTGAATTCGAAAAACGGGCTCTAAGCTCAGATGCACAAATAACCAAAGCTTCTAGGTTTCTCATCATTCTAATTGAATCCAGAACACCCCTGATAAAATACCACATTACACTGTTCTTTCCATGCACAGCAGCATCAGCATGTGAATGACAACCTCAGTAGGAATTGCCTCTTTCCGTCGCTTTTTAGACCCTATCTCTGTTAGGCCGGGGTGAGCACATTTTAATCTAGATTTGGCGACGAAACAAATTAAACCGATCCCATTCGACTTGAGAAAATTGAATCCACGTTAGAATCCGAAATCTCAACCTGTACTATTACATTATGTTAGTCTCAAACAATTTGCCAATTGAATTCTTCTAGCCAATTTTGGCCGGAAATTATTGACGTGGACGCCGGTCGTTTTACCTGGCGCGGCCGGCGTTGACTTTATTGGAGGGTTATTAATTCCTTTCAAGTTGTCGATTGTTCTATCCAAACTGTTTATCGACTCAATTTGTCATTTGTCGATAATAACCAAAAATTGATCATTTTTTTTGTATAAGCATATGCTCCCTTTAGTAAAAAAAATTGAATGATGCATTGATCATTCAATTCTTTTAAATTAGATAATCAAGGGTCATCGTATGGCCCCTTGTCATCGGCAAATTTGATTTTTCCCAGCCGAATTTTTTCTTGAATTGTTTTTTTAAAACAATACAATTAATTATGTTATGAATCCACGGATGATACCACTTGAAAAAAATTTTGTTTACTAAATCTTCTTTAATCGGGAGAACTTGGCCTTCTGTTAATTTTATCAAGCTATCTTTTAGGAGTAAATTGAAGACTTCGTCCAACTTATGAATGTCGAACGAATAAACTTGAGTGTCTTTAGCCCCAGCCATTAAAAAAAAAAAAAAAGGCCACATCATCATCATTGTCAGCAAAATTGGATGAAATCAATGGAACTTTATTGCACCTATTCAACAAGTTTTGGAATTTTATTTTATTTTTTAAAGCATTAGGACTCAATTGCATTTTCGCAATAATTTTAGGACTTACGATACACTATCCCATTTTTAAAGATAAGAAAAGAACATATAATTTTTTTTTTCGGGTACTCCAGATCAGACCACCACCTTAGGTGGCGAAATTCCGGACGACTGAAGTACCCCACTAAAAAGAAGTCTTTTGATAATTTGTCAATGATAAACTCTTTCGATGTGCTTGCTTCTTATCCTTATCACCTACAAATACAGTGGCCAAATTTGATACTGATAATTGCTTTAAGGTTAATGAAGAGTTTGGTAGGAAGAGCTGAAGTCCGGATCGGTTCAAAGTTATTTGTATGTTGTTCGGTCGAATTGGCTTCAGCTGATTATCATGGCTGAAGTCAAACAGCCAAATGGGGAAAGCTCAAGTCAACTTGATTGTCAAAGGTTATAAGTGGGTTGCTACTAACGTCTAGACGTGTTACATAATTATAATTTCTTATTTCATAATGATTATTTGTGTTGTAAAATATTGCGTTGCAAGTATATAATAGAGAAAATAAAGATTAAGTAGAGAAAGCAAATAAACAACGAAGATATATATTTTATCTTTTCATTCTGTTCTAACTTCTTACACAATGACCAAAACTAAGCTCCTATTTATAAGAAAACAAGGATGCACATATCATTAATGTCAATGTATTGAATATATACATTGAATATGGAGATGGGCATTCATACGTAGAATGTAGGTTACGAATGTGCCATAATAGGTACATTGAATATTCATTCATGTATGTAGGTTACGAATGTGCCATAATAGGTGCATTGAATATAATGAATATTCATTCATGTATTTCATAACACTCCCCCTTGAATATTCATTGTATTCATGAATGTGCATTGAATGATGCTGCCTCATTAAAAACCTTAAGCCGGAAAAACCCAATGGGACAAAAACCGGACAAAAGGGAAAAAGAGTACACAGCACAAATTTTAAGATCTCTCCCTTTTATAGATGCGTAAATTGCCTCGTTAAAACTTTAAACCGGAAAAACCCTGTGGGAAAAAACTGGACAGAAAGAAAAAGAGTGCAATGCATAGTTCATAATATCTCCCCCTCAATTTGAGCTATATAGCCACTGCTGGGGCTAGTCAATCTTGCATCTTATGAACTCGCCGCATATCAATGCCATATACTAATTTCTCAAAAGTTGACGTTGGCAATGATTTGGTAAAAAGATCTGCAAGATTATTTATGGATTGAATCTGCTTAACATCAATTTGTCGACTTTCTTGGAGCTCGTGAGTATAGAAAAATTTCGGCGAGATATGCTTGGTCCTATCACCTTTGATATATCCTCCCCTAACTTGTGCAACACAAGCAGCATTATCTTCATAAATTATAGTGGGAGAATTTGTAACCGGTGTTAAACAACAAGAATTGTGAATATGTGTTATAACGGATCTTAACCAAACACACTCTCTTCCAGCTTCATATAAAGCAATAATCTCAGAGTGGTTGGAAGATGTAGCTACTAGCGATTGCTTCGTAGAACGCCAAGAAATGGCGGTGCCGTTATAACAAAATTAATAACCGGTTTGAGAGCGAGCTTTATGTGGATCAGATCTATATCCAGCATCAGCATATCCAACTTAACCAGAGGTAGTGGAATCCTTGAAATAATATAATCCCAAATCTATGGTTCCTCGGAGATAACGAAAAATATGTTTAACTCCATTCCAGTGTCTCCGAGTTGGCTCAGAACTAAAACGTGCAAATAAATTTACCGCAAAAGCGATATCTGGTCTCGTACATTGTGCCAAGTACATCAAAGCCCCAATTGCATTGAGATATGGTACTTCAGGACCAAGTATCTCTTCATCAGATTCTCTAGGACGAAACTGATCATTTTGGGGATCTAGAGACCATACAACCATAGGGGTGCTCAATGGGTGAGCCTTGTCCATGTTGAAGCATTTAAGTAATCTTTCAATGTATGCTGATTGATGGACGATTATTCCATTTGCTTTATGCTCAAGCTCTAGACCAAGACAAAGTTTGGTTTTACCCAAATCTTTAACTTCAAATTCCTTTTTCAAATACTCAACAGTTTTAGCTAACTCTTCTGGAGTTCCAATTGAATTTATATCGTCAACATAAACTGCTACAATAGCAAATCCGGTTTCTAATTTCTTAATAAACACGCATGGGCAGATAGGATCATTCTTGTACCTTTCCTTAATTAGGTACTCACTTAGGCGTTGATACCACATGCGACCGGATTGCTTTAACCCGTACAAAGATCTTTGCAATTTTATTGAGAATAAGTTGCGGGGAGTGCATGCATCAGGCATTTTGAATCCCTCAGGAATTTTCATATAAATATGTGAGTCTAATGAGCCATATAGATATGCCGTCACAACGTCCATAAGATGCATTTCCAATCTTTCAGAGAGTACTAGGCTAATGAGAAAACGAAATGTAATCATATCCATCACAGGTGAATATGTCTCATCATAATCAATCCCAGGTCTCTGGGAGAATCCTTGGGCAACGAGTCGGGCTTTATACTTGACAACCTCGTTTTTCTCATTTCGTTTCCGGACAAATACCCATTTATATCCAACGGGCTTTCCATTATCTGGGATGCGAGTTATGGGTCCAAAAACCTCTCGTTTGGCTAGGAAGCTAATTCAGCCTTAATTGCTTCCTCCCATTTAGACCAATCATGCCTTTGACGACATTCGATAATAGATTGCGGCTCACAATCATCATTCATAATTTTATGAGCAACTGAGAATGCAAAAGCATCATCAATGATTATTTCATTCCGATCCCAAATCTCATTACAATATGTAATGGGATTCTCAGTATTCCCAGGGTTGGTGATCTTTTCATGGGTTTGTGCCTCTTCAGGGGCAATAAGCTCTTTGGGAGCAAGCACAACACCAGGCTCTTCTGGAGCAGATTCCTGATTCTTTCCCCTTCGTTTTCGAGGAACAGTGTCTTTTGATCCTATCAGTCTACCGCGTTTCAAGTGTGGGGGATTTTGATCAATTTTAGCTTGTCCTTCGGGAACAACTATCCTAGCTGGAGCATTTACAGCTGGAACATGAGACTTCGTTACCTTAGTAGCATTATTAAATGCGTCAGGAAGTCTATTGGCCATAGCCTGTAAATGGATTATGCGCTGCACCTCGTTTTCACACTCAGGAGTTCTTGGGTCTAATTGAGATAAATTTTTCTCATTCCAGGAGAAAACCTTAACTGGTTTTTGCTTCGCAGCCATGTCAGTTTTAGGTGTCCCAATCGATGGAAACATAGTCTCATTGAAATGACAATCTGCGAATCTGGCAGTAAAAAGATCACCAATAGTCGGTTCCAAGAACCTAATGATGGACGGTGAATTAAACCCAACATAAATGCCCAAACGGCGTTGGGAACCCATTTTCGTTCTTTTTTGTGGTGCTACAGGCACCTGTACTGCACAACCAAAGGTGCGTAAATGTGAAATATCAGGTTCATAACCAAGAACCATTTGAAGGGGAGATTGTAAGAGACTAGCAGTGGGGCGCAATCTTATTAGGGCTGCCGCATGCAAAACTGCATGACCCCATGCTGTATCGTTGAGATTCGTTCTCAATAATAGAGTGCGGGCAATGATTTGGATATGTTTAATCAAGGATTCTACCAATCTATTTTGAGTATGAACATATGCGACCGGGTGCTCAATCTCGATTCCGAGTGAAGCACAATACGTATCAAAACTCTTTGATATAAATTCACCAGCATTATCCATCCTTATGCTTTTAATTGGATAATCAGGGAATTGTGCCCGGAGCTTTATAATCTGCGCAAGTAAACGTGCAAAGGTGACATTGCGCGTAGATAATAGACAAACATGGGACCATCTACAGGATGCGTCCACTAGTACCATAAAATATCGAAATGGTCCACTTGGTGGTTGTATTGGTCCACAAATATCACCCTGAATTCTTTGCAGGAATAAAGGGGATTCAAGATCAACCTTTGTTATAGAATGTTTGATAATGAGTTTTCCTTGTGAACAAGCTTCACAATTATAATCTTTGGACAACAATACCTTTGTATCCTTTAAAGGGTGCCCTTTTGTATTCTGGATTATTCTACGCATCATTGAAGCTCCAGGGTGACCAAGGCGATCATGCCATAATCCAAACTGATTAGGGTTTACCAATCTCCAGGATATGGTGGAGTAGGTTTCAACGGCCTTAATCATGACACAATACAAACCCATAGAAGAAGCTTCTAGCTTCTCATGGATGGTCTTCAGGCCCATCTTATAAGAGGTAATGCCAATATATTCTTTATTTTGCTCATAAATAGTCTCAACATGGTACCCATTACGGCGTACATCTTTGAAGCTAAGCAGATTCATTTTTGATCTACTACTTAGAAATGCATTCTCAATATGCAGAATGGTGCCTTTTGGCAAAACAATTGTGGCATTCCCGAAACCATCAATAATCGGAATAGGACTAGATATTGCATGGACATGTGTCTTACGCAATGTCATACTCGAGAAAAAGTGTCTACTACGAAATATGGTATGTGTTGATGCATTATCAAGCAAACAAACATCTTCCTTTTTCTCGGTGTTTTCCATTTGCATTTATGTTGACAACTTCAGGTGTTAAGTATCATAAAATTTTCATATTAGTTATAGGGTCAAATAAAATTTCAAAATAATAAATATTATATCAGGTTCATAAGCATTTCATTGCATAACCATATTAAAGAACAATAAAAGGTAATACATTTAAAGAAAAGCAACTAGAAAAGAAATTATTAGAATCATAAAATTCGAAGTCTAAGATGTCATCCACCAGTCTAATGCTTCATCAAAGTAATCAGAGGTCCTCAAAGAAATCAGAGACATCCAGGGATGCATTTGCTACTTCAGGAGCAAGAGGAGTCCCACCAACAGAGATATTGTTGGCCTCAACAGTGGTTATGGCAGTAGGATTAATTTCAATGGCGTGAGATTCACCACCATTGCCCCTATTTTTTAAAGGTGCCTGGTATAGATCAACAAAGTGCTTTGGCGTACGACAAGTACGTGACTAGTGCCCAGTCATGCCACAGCGATGGCAAATACTTTCATTAGTCACCTTCTTTTGCTTCTTTTCTTTGTCATGATTCGGGTCAAAGTTAGATTTCCTAGGGCGGTTAAATTTCTTGCCACCCCTTCGAGGATTATGTTCTTGCCTGCGCTTATAGCATTTAAAATGGCCAGTATTTTTCTCAGAGTTAGCATGTGCTTCAGGCAATGTTTTTGAGCCAGCAGGTCTAAGATCATGATTTTTTAGCAGCAATTCATTAGTTTGCTCAGCAGTGAGGAGCACAGAAATTAATTCAGAGTATGTGGCAAATTGACGCTGCCGGTATTGCTGTTGCAATACAATATTCAAAGCATGGAAGGTGGAGAAAGTTTTCTCTAACAGTTCCGCATCAGTGAGTTTGATACCGCATAACTCAAGCTGAGAAACAATATCAAATAAAGCGGAGTTATAGTCAGACACTGATTTAAAATCTTGTAGTCTGAGATTTTGCCAGTCATATTGTGCTTGAGGAAGGATAACAGTTTTGGTATGATCATACCTATCCTTCAACCTCTTCCACAAGGTCTGAGGGTCTCGAACGGATAAATATTGAGTCTGCAGGCTCTCATGCAAATGACGACGAATAAAAATCAGTGCATTTGCTTTATCTTTTGCATTTGAGGTTCCGTCTTCTGTAATTGCGTTAGCAAGATCTTGCCCTTGGAGGTGCATTTACATGTCAAGGCACCAGGATATATAATTATTTCCACTCACTTCGAGGATGTGGAATTTGAGCTTTTCAATATTTGCCATAATTCTTGCAAAACAAATGAATCCTTAAATTAATTAGAAGGATTTCCAAATATCCGCCGCCACTTCAGGAGCGGAAGGATACTTTTAGATTGGAAATTGGCTTCAAGCCAAGAAAAAGAAAAATGACGAATTGATAGGAGAAGATGAAGTATAAGTTGATTAATGAAAACAAAGAGAACACTTACCTTGCAAAAATTATTTACTCAATTGGTAGATCTTCGTGCTGATAACGTGTTGTAAAATATTGCGTTGCAAGTATATAATAGAGAAAATAAAGATTAAGTAGAGAAAGCAAATAAACACCGAAGATATATATTTTCTCTTTTCATTCTGTTCTAATTTCTTACACAATGACCAAAACTAAGCTCTTATTTATAAGAAAACAAGGATGCACAAATCATTAATGTCAATGTATTGAATATATACATTGAATAGGGAGATGGGCATTCATACGTAGAATGTAGGTTACGAATGTGCCATAATAGGTACATTGAATATTCATTCATGTATGTAGGTTACGAATGTGCCATAATAGGTGCATTGAATATAATGAATACTCATTCATGTATTTCATAACAATTTGTTATTTTTTTAGTTTATTTATTTTTACCCTTTATTATGAAAACTTAAATATCAACAATACCTGTTTTATTCTCACCTTACCAAAAAAAAAAACAATACCTGTTTTATTCTCGTATATCAACCATTTGCCAAAGGCAAAGGTCAGAACTAGGGAAAGCTGTCCTGTTATTGCTGGCTTTTGGGTGACAGATGAGGACATTGATCAATCTGCAAGTAACCATGTGAATTAGACACACACTACATGTTTGACTCTCCTGGCCATCTAAATGTAATTTTTGGTTGAGTCATCTACTTGAACTTTGGCTTGCTTGTTATGCAATTCGCCAACTTAGGAACGAATTGTAACCAACCAACTTAATTATAAGATAAGGAATTTTAACTCCAAAAAAAATTGCTAAGTGATAAGCGTGTTTGTCTGCCTCACTCAACATCCGACTTCAAATTACCACACTTGCCGCGTTCTTTTGAAAGAGTGCGGACTTATGCATCTCCAGTAATTATTCAGTGTGTTTGGGAGGGAGAGATTGCCACACCTTATACAGATTTGTCAAGTGCTCAACGAGTCGTTGACATTTTATCAATATAAAAAAAAGAAAAAAAAGAGGATAAAGGAATTTTAAGATTCTTTGGACACGAGTGATGTGACCGACAGATAGCGAGGCAACTGTCGTACAATCGTACACAACGAGAGAAGGACATTTGTTAACAAGTTGACTTGGTAGGACATGTGATCAACACAAAGCGCATCATATCCTACCACATTTTGTGACATCTCACTCTAAACTCATTGCTATCATGGCTTTTAGGCATACAATCTCTCCCTTGCACTTTGCTCTCTCCTTTATTTCATGGCTTTTGATTCCTTCAGTTGTAATGACGACGGCCACGGCCACGGCAACCACAAAGCCCGGCTGTCGGAGCCAATGTGGAGACCTAACAGTTTCATACCCTTTCGGCATCGACATCGGAACCGGCTGCTCGTTAGACTCTTATTACGAAATTAACTGCACCACTTTATATGACCCTCCAAAAGCATTCATGAGCACAAGTAATTTGGAGGTGGTCGAAATATCCGATACCCAGGTGCGTATTAAGAACTTCACCGCATTCAGCTGCTATTCCGATACCGGTTCTGTAATTGGGCGAAAACCGACGTGGTATCAATTAGCCGATTCTCCTTACACCTTCTCTAACGTCGCCAATAAGTTCACCGTCATTGGATGCGACGATTTCGCGCTATTTCAAGGCTCGAACGACCTTAATTTTACGAGTGGATGTGCGGCTCTATGTTCGAGAAAAGAGAGCGTGACAGGTGGCGATTGTTCGGGAGTCGGTTTTTGTCAAACGCCTAGTCCTAAAGGTCTGAAGTACTTTACGCAAGCCTCACAAACCTGAACAATCACACGAATATCTGGTCCATCAATCCATGTAGCTATGCCTTCTTGGGTGCACAAGAGCAATTTCATTTCCGCGGGGCATCCGATTTCTCGGACCCGACGTTCATCAACAGGACCGCCTATTCCGTGCCCATCGTGCTCGATTGGGTCGTCGGAAATCGGACTTGCGATGAGGCTCGAAAAGATTTGAGTACATATGAGTGCAAGGAGAGTAGTAATTGTTATGATTCAGACAACGGTCCCGGATACAGATGCCAGTGCAATCAAGGTTTCAAGGGAAATCCCTACCTCAGTCCTGGCTGCCAAGGTCTGTTTCCAAACATTCAAAAGCATATATAACCATCGTTTGTATGTTTGTATGCATGCCTGCGTGTATGTGCATGTGTAAAGTTATTGAGTAAAATTCCTAAGGCATTGATCAAGTGTAGATTTGATTATTAGGCAGACCTAGGAGGGCCTATCCAATCGCCCGTCCAATGATCAGGTTAGCCGAGAGTAGTCGAGCATTTCGTTGGGGGTGCATCAGATGCGGTGCTCGAATGACCGCGCCTTCCGCTCAAATTAGTCTTAGGGATCACGCCCGCAACCATATATATGAGTGAGGCCTTACCCGATTCACGCGTTAATTGAGCCGAAACTTTGGATTTTCAGGATTTTTGGGATTTTGCTTATGCTATGACATGCTGAGCAGGATAATTATGTTGTGAAGTTTGTGTTTCAGATGTCAACGAATGTGCAGACCCCAACAGCAATCCTTGTGATCAGGGAGTATGCACAAACACAATTGGAAGTTACAAATTGCTCGTACCTTGAAGGATTTTATGGCGATGGGAGGAAAGATGGCCGGGGATGCATTGCTAAAAATTCTGAATTTCCTGTCATCAAAGGCGCTTTAGGTGAGCAAACTCTTTTGATTATCTATATATTTATATATTAATTTGAAAAAACTCCGGCTGATTAATACTATAATGGAGGAGATGATTCGTTCATCCATTCACCCGTCCAATCTATCTAATGTCTATGAAAATAATGCACTAGAGAAATCTGACAAGTTTTCCATTAAGATTTGCTATTTGGCAGAAAGTTTTCACTGATCCAATTATACCAGAAAGTATGTGACAAAAACAGGAAGGATTATTCAAAAAATCTTAAACCTATTTTATTTAGCCAATTCAGTCCTAAACTTTTTAATTTGATCAATTTAATCCAATGTAGTCCATCTGACCAATTTAGACTGGAAATCACTGACGTTGTGGTCCAGTCAGCGTTGACCGTGATTTTTGCAATTGTTTAAATTTTCTGGAGCTTTTCTTCTTTTTTCTTTTTCTTTTTTTCTATTTTACTGTTCATCTTCTTACTCCGCTGAAGCTCTACGATGGCCGGCGACTTCACTAGCCATAGGCAAGGGCCACTCTCCCCGATCACCCCTCGCCTAAGTCTGGCAAGGGCGTCGTGGCACTTGCTAGATCAGACAAGGGCAATTATCGCTTGTGGTTAGCGACCTTTGTCGACCATTACTAAGCCCCGGTGGCCGGCGAAGAAAGAAGATGAACAGTATAGGAAAAGAAAAAAGAGAGAAATTAAAGAAAAAGAAAAGGAAAAAATAACTAAGAAAAACATAATTTTTTTAACAAAATTACACAAATCGTCCACTTCAGCCTCAGTTGTGCCACATAGAATGGCTAGCGTCCAAGTCAACAATTTACGGCCTGAATTAGTGGAACGGATTACATTGGAAAATTGTCAAAAAAGTTCAGGCTAAATTGGCCAAATTGAAAAGTTTAAGACTAAGTTAGCCTCTACATAATAGATTTAGAATTTTTTGGATAATTTTCCTAACGAAAACACGACGACAGCAAAACCGCAAAAAGAATTGCATACTTAAGCTCCGTTCGTTTGGCGGAAAATATTCTCCCGGAAAATATTTTCCGGGTTTTCGTTCGGGGCGGAAAACGTTTTCCGTGGGAAAATATTTTCCTTCCCCCTCACAAAATAGCCTAAATCTACGGAAAATGATCTTCCGCTTCTTCAAAAGCGGAAATCATTTTCCGAGCTTCTTCTTCTTTTCTTTACTAAGGTCGCCGGTCGCCGGCCGCGGCCTCCACCGGTCGCCGTGCCGCCGCCACCGCCGGCCGCCGCGGGACGTTGGCCGTCGATCGCCGCCGCCGGCCGCCGGTCGCCGCGCCACCGCGGCGAAAAATATTTTCCGAAACTTTTTCATATTGGTCGCCGAACACGGAAAATTATGTTCGGAAAAACATTTTCCGGAAAATGACTTCCGGAGAATATTTTCCAAAAGGAGAATATTTTCCGCCAAACGAACGGAGCCTTATTACAATCCTTTCATTTTCAAGGAAAAAAATGACCATGGAGCAACATTAATTACTAAATCCCTTTCAATGTTTTGTCTCTTGAAAACGACAATGAAGCAAGAAAAGACATCGTTGATGTCTGCATTTAGTTGGAATTGGGTTTCTCTCGCTCCATTAACTAAACTTAGCAAGTTGCTTTTCAGGGACGGGCTTTGGCTTCTTGTCCTTGATAAAATAATGGGTACTCCATGGCTGTATCTCTGCATAAAGAAGCGAAACATCCTAAAAACGACCGAAGGCGACGTGGATTCAACCAGAATTTTCACCGCTGAAGAGCTCATATCGGCGACCAACAACCACGGCGAAGAGAGGATTCTCGGCCGAGGCGGTTTCGGTACCGTGGACAAGGGAATCTTACCCGACAACCGCATCGTCGCCATAAAGAAATCCAAAATGGCCAACGTCGATAGGTCGGACATAGAGCAGTTCATCAACGAAGTGGTCATCCTCACACGGATCAACCACCGGAACGTCGTTTGACGACTGGGGTGCTGTTTAGAGACGGAAGTTCCCCAGCTAGTTTATGAGTACATCTCGAACGGTACCCTATTTGACCCTATCCACTATA